CCTGTGTGGAACAGGGCTTCCCCTTGGAAGCCAATTTTCTGCACAGTGAAAATGCTTTCTCTGTGCCCACTCGAGCAGATGGCCCACCTTGGCCTGAATGGAGAGGCACGGAAGCCAGCGGGGGACAGGAGCGCCTGGGCCCTGTCCTCTGAGCACTGCATGCAGGCCTCCCTCCCTCCAGGGCCCTTCCTCCCCCAGACTGAGCTGGGCACCTGGGCCACTGCGGACCCCTCCTGGGCTGCTGGCCCCGCCCTTGGGTGGGGGTGCAGCTCAGGAGACACTTGCAGGTGAAAGACCTGCCTCTTCTGCCAGCCTCCACCCCCCTTCCTCCGGAAGCCAGCCCCGCCCCAGCCCTGCCTGCAGGGCAGCTGGTAACCTTCCAGATCCACCACTGGTGTCCAGAAACATGAGCTTGTCTGGTCAGAAGGGCAGAGGTCTGGCCTGGCTGAAGCTTTAGGGAAGGACCGCGCATACCCAGGGAGGAAAGGGCTCTGAGCCAGGAGGGTCGCGGGGCTTCTGCCCCAAGACACTGCGTGTCACCCGCCGGCTGAGCTGTGCGCGGAGGCCTGAGGCTCCAGGGAGAGCCCAGGGCCCAAGACACCATCCCGGCCTTCCTCGCCCTTCAGAGATGAGGTCCGGAAAGCCATTGTCTAACTTCCCAAATGACCAGCTCTGTCCCAACCAAGAGACAGAGTGACCTCCAGGTGTTTACAGTTCTACTGTGATGCGGGGTGCTGGAGGCTTAGCCACTGCTATCTGGTTCCGGTGCTTCTCTATAGCATATAAATACATGATAATAATAATAATAAATGATAGAAGGCTGGGTACCGGTGCCTCAGGCCTGTATATTTCCAGCTACTCAGGAGGCTGAGATCAGAGGATAGAGGCGCAAAGCTAAGGCTGGGCAGGAAAGTCTATGAGACTCCATTTCCAATTAACCAGTTTAAAAGCCAGGCTTGAAATGTGACACACATGGTAGAGTGCCAATTATGAACAAAAAAGTGGAGAGTACAAGGCCCTGAGCTCAAACCCCAATACCACCCGAAAAAAAAATCTCCAAGGAAGAAAGGAAGGAAAGGGAAAGGAAGAAAGGCTAACAGCATAGAGACAGCAGCCATGTGGCTTGCAGACCTGTGCAGACTTGAGAGTCCAAGAATGACCTGGAAGCTCCCACCCTTGGTGAGTGTAAGGTCCATTCCTGGACCGTGAACAGACCTCCCTCGCCCAGTACCTGCGTTACCTAGGCAACTGGGACACCTGGAAGAGGTCACATCTGCATCCGCTGAGGTCCCATCTGAATTTGGTGTGGCCACACCTTTCTCTGCCCATACCCTAGATGAGGCCTAGCCCAGGCCCAGAGGCTCTCTCTCGCTGCTCTTTTCTAGCTCTCTCTGCTCTCTGCTCTTTTCTCTCTTTCCTCTCTCTTTCCCAGCTTGCTCTCTTTCCCAGGCCTTTCCCAGCCATGTGGAGTGCCAACCTTGCCTGGTCCCAGCAGGTCTACTGAATAAACCTACCCCTTACCTGAATACCAGGTGCGTGCTGCTGTTCTTACTCGACTATTTCTTTTTAAAAACCTGACAGTGAGGACCTGATGTTGGGGAGCAGGGGCTCCTTCAAAAGGGAGAAACCTATCTGGACACCTGTCATCCTCACTGCTCAGGAGGCTGAGGTCTGAGGATGGCGGTTCAAAGCCAGCCCGAGCAGGAAAATACCCTTGAGACTCTTATCTTCAAAAAACCACTCAGAAGACTGCAAGTGGCGCTGTGGCTCAAGTGCTAGAGCGCTCGCCTTGAGCTGGAGAGCTGAGGGACAGCGCCCAGGCCCAGAGTTCAGGCCTCACAACCCACAAAAAAAATGGGGGAAACACCTCATTACCCAACAGGAGCTGCTCAGGAAGCAGCTTCCCAGGGCAGCTTCCCCAGTGACCCTCCCTCCCTCCCTCCCACCGGCTCCACCCCTTGGAGACCCAAGCTTCCCCCTGAGGCACACTAGAACCTGTGGATCCCATAGTGCCCCCCCCCAGTGGTGCTGACCCCTGAGGGAGAGGAATCTGAAGCAGGGGTGTGGAGTGATGAGGAGAAGGGGGGCCGAGAAGAGAGGGGAAGGAGGAGAGGGGAGGAGGGGAGGGAAGGAGGAGAGGGGAGGAGGGGATAGGGACCCATCTTACATGACCTGCTGGTGCCAAGCCCTAGCACACACCTCCTCACCCCCCTCCACAGCCCTGAGAGGCCAGCACTACAGCCCCATGCTGCGGGCCAGCACCCCAGTATTCAGCTGAGCCAGGTGAGAGCACCGAGCCTGGAGTCAGGAATCCTGAGTCCTCAACCTTCCAGTCAAGCTGTTGAACCTTGATTCTTTATTTCCCAGCCCTGGGGCTTGAACTCAGGGCCTAGGCACTGTCCCTGAGATTCTTTTCCTCAAGGCTAATGCCCTACCACTTGAGCCACAGTGCCACTTCCAGCTTTTTCTGTGTATGTGGTACTGAGGAATTGAACCCAGGGCTTCATGCATGCTAGGCAAGCATTCTACCACTGAGCCACCTTCCCAGCCCAGGCTGTTGAACCTTGAACATGCCACAGGGCCTCTCTGAGCTTCAATCATCTTAACGCGACTAAATGACCCTCCAGGCTCTCCCAGCCCAGCTCTCTGTAAGTGAGCAGCTAGAGGATTCCCCCAAATCAGACAGGTCACCCTGCACAGAGCTGCTCTGGGAGGCTGGCTTGGGAAAAATTATATGAAGTGAAGTAAGCCAGACCCAAAGAAACAGAGGTCCTTATTTGCAATAACCAGTATACGTCTAGGGTAATCTCACCAGAGAAGCAGAAAGCTATGTACACACGACCCTATAAGATGATGCTAAGCAAAATGGACCCCAAGATAGGGACACAAGAGGGCTTTTCTTATTTTTTTGGGGGGTCCAGTTGTGGGGCCTGAACTCTGGGTCTGGGCACTGTCCCTCAGTTCTTTTCCTCATTTTCCTCAAGGCTAATGCCCTACCACTTGAACCACAGCGCCATTTCCAGCTTTTTCTGTGTATGTGGTACTGAGGAATCGAACCCAGGGCCTCATGCATGCAAGACAAGCGCTCTACCACTGAGCCACCTTCCTAGCCCCCACAAGAGGGTTTTTCTTTGTTGCTGTTGTTTTCAATGTACTATGTGATTTTTTTTTTTTTTGGTCAGTATGGGGTTTGAACTCAGGGCTTGGGCGCTGTCCCCGCTCTCTTCAGCTCAAGGTTAGCGCTCTACCGCTTGAGCCACAGCACCACTTCTGGTTTTCTAGTGGTTTATTGGAGGTAAGAGTCTCACGGACTTTCCTGCCCAGGCTGGCTTTGAACCGCGATCCTCAGATCTCAGCCTCCTGAGTAGCTAGGATGACAAGCGAGCCACTGGCGCCCGCGTACGTGATTTGTGTGTGTGTGTGTGTGTTTCTTTTGCATGTTCTTCCTCCATGGTATAAGCCCTGTTGTCACTGTGTTTGATTCTGATTCCCTGCATCTTTTTTTTTTTTTCCTGCTTATGTGGTGCTGAGGAATCGAACCCAGGGTCTCAGGCATGCAAGGCAAGCGCCCTACCACTGAGCCACCTTCCCAGCCCCTGCCCTGCATCTTGTATGTACGTTTTCCTAATTTGGGGAAGGGAAATAACAAAATGCTGAAACAAGATACAGGTTGACCCATTGTAACAAAGAGATGTACAAGACACTATGTTGAAAACAAACTTTACAACTTGGGAGGGGAGGGAGGGTTGGGAGAGGTGGGAGGAAAAGGATAGTAGGGGAAAAACAAAGGAGGGGGTAACTGCGTGATAGGAAAGGTGCTCATTAGCTTACTCATGTAACTGTAACCCCTCTTTTTTTTTTTTCTTCTGTCGGACGTGGGGCTTGAACTCTGGGCGTGGGCGCTGTCCCTCAGCTCTTCAGCTCAAGGTGAGCACTCTATCGCTTGAGCCACAGCGCCTCTTCCAGTTTTCTGGTGGTTCATTGGAGGTAAGAGTCTCAGGGACTTTCTTGCGCAGGCTGGCTTTGAGCCGAGATCCTCAGATCTCAGCCTCCTGAGTAGCTAGGATGACAGGCGTGAGCCACTGGCGCCTGGCAGCACTCGGGCTTTGAATGAGCTCTTAGAACTTAGAAGCAAGAATCTTCCACACATAGATCTGTGCTCTTTCCTGGGCTGGAGCTCCAGATGGCGTGGCCTGGGAGCAGACACCACCCTAGGCTCCCTGCAGGTGCCCCTGTCCCCCACAGGACCCGGCTGAGGGTATCCAGCCACTGGCCCTGTGCCAAGATGGCACCCAAGGGTCTCAGGCCTGCCTGCCTTGCCATGAGACCAGACCATCTCCCTGTACGTCCCCCTCAGCAGCTCATTCACCCCACAAAGCCCAGCGCCCTGTAGCATTGTGTAGAAAATTCTAGGCAGCACCAACATACCAGCAGAACGGCTGTTTCCCCGCTGAGCCAGGGCACGGGAGCAACCAAGCAACCAGGACCTCAGGGGGCTCTGCATCAGCACGAGGACCCCGGGATGCCCATCCTCCTGCCCCTCAGGAGGTCAAGCCTGGCCAGGAAGCACTTTCCCCAGACACCGGCTTAAGGCGAGCACTCCATCCCGTCTTTGGGGACGAGGCTTGACCTTCAACTCGCGCTTAGGGAAGGGGACACGCTGGGAGGGCGGCACGCACAACCACTCATGGAGGACGAGCCCAGCTGCCCTGTACCCCAGGCTGTGCAGCCTCCCCAGGCTGGGAAATCACCTCTGTAGCAGCTGCTCCTGGGGGGTGAGGACCCCCCCCCCCAGCTCCCATGTCCCAGAGGCTCACACGCAAACACAGTTGTCTGACGGAGGCGCAAACACGGTACAGTCTGACGGAGGCTCACGGCCCCCAGAGGTGCAGCCACGGGGCCTTGCAGGTGGGGCAGAAAACCACAGTACAGCCAGCCGGGCGGAAGGCCACCAGCAAGCTTCGGGAAAGAAAAACAGTCCAAGGAAACCATTCTTTCTTCACTCTTTACTGTGTAAAAATAAACTTAACAATTCATGTCATTTCAGCAAGAAAATGAAAAAAGAAAAAAAGAAAAGAAAAAAAGCAAGAATACCAGTAGAAATAGTGCATTTCCAGAACTGCCGATGGGGTGGGGCGGGCCCCGTGGTTTTGACCCCTGACACCCAAAAGGCTGCCGATAGTATGAAAAATGTACAACTTTGGTTAGCAAATAATGAAAAAGTAAGATACATCAATTCTCTTTCCTATTTTACAGTATGTACATGGTAACAATATCAACTCTAGGGGGTTGCTTTTGTTTTCAATTTTTATTTTTTTGGCAAAGAAGACAGAATTGGGACTCTAAGTATTGGGCTTTTGTTTCTCCTCAATGACTCGTTCCCTTTTAACAAATTGCACAGAAGCGACACATTTCCCGTCCTTAGCTGGATAAATGTACACACTGTGTTTGAGATGAAATCCGGACCGCTGTGGGACCGCGGAGTCTGGCCTCTTCACGTTACACCGCGCAGCCATGCTTCTATCAAGGTTGGAGCTGACGACCAGCTCCAAGACAGAGAGCCCGCCGTGCTCCGCCTCCGGGCTCTCCTGGTCCCCAGCACACCCTCAGAAACAGGGGGCCCCTCGCTGGAATGGCTGTGAACCCCACACTGGCCTCCCTCCTCCCCCACGAAACCCCCAGGGTCTCAGGTCCCAGGGCTGGTGACGAAGTGATCTTTGCAGTCTTAGAAAATAAACTGGGAGTCTACAAAAGGAAAAGAAAGCATACAAAATGTATCTCTTTCTTCCAAAATACATCTTTCAGTCCTACATTTTGGTGGAGTCTGAAAGTTTTGTTTTTTTTCCCAAGGGGGATATAGGTTGAGATAATTCATTTATAGGTTTGTCCTATTCTCGCATAAAAATACTCTTGTTTGGTAATAAACTTTTTTCTTCTACAGTAAGAGAAATAATACTGTGTTATTATCAAAAGCAAGAAGGCTTAGGATTCCAGTGGGATCTAGAGCCCCCAGGGGTCCTCGGTGGCAGCTCCCCCACCCCCAGACGCCCCGGGAGCGGCCGGACGCCAGCTTGGCAAAAGCAAACACTGTCTCGACAGTGCTTTTTATCTTCTTATTTTATAAAATGGCTTACCTGAGAGAGGCGTGTATTATTCAGTGCAAGAGGGAGCGTCAATCAGATTACGGAGTCGCTGGGAACGGTGTGGATGGGGTTTTCAGCCGGGTCATCTACCTTTCTTGGGACCAGCCAAGTGCCAAGTGAGCACAGTGATGGAGGGGGGCTCGGCACAGACTCCAGTGGGGGGCGGGGCGGGAGCTAAATCTTAGCGTCGGTCCCTGGCACCTTGGGCTCCTCGGGAGAGGGGATGGGGAGGGAGGGGATGTAGGCATAAGCATTGGGGTGTGCTCTGCCCTCTTAGCTAGGGCAGAGGATGGCTTGTGGTCCTGAACCGACAGCCCCCACACGGCCCGTCTGGACCGAGGTGGACTGCGGTCGTATTGGCAGGGGCCGGGGCTGGTGGCAGGGGCCGGCCCTGGGCACGGCGGCTCTGGGCCTTGCCTGGCAGCAGCCTCCAGACAGCTGGAGTGAGGGGGGGGGGAATCGATCTGGTCTGGAAAGGTGATTCCAAGCTTGCTCTCTCTCTTTCTCCCTCTCTCTCCCAACCAAGAGTATCGTTCTGCTTGTTCTCAACCCACCTGATAGAAATGCTTCTTGTTGTGTTTGGGGTGTAGGGGGGAGGAGGAGGAGAAGAACGTGGCTCTACGCCTCCTTTGACACCCCTGGCTTGCTTACCCAGCCATTTTGTGGCAGCTACATGGGTGGTCACGGAACACTGGTGGCACTCAGCACACAACACAGAACCGGAGAAGTCCATGCAGGCAGGGGAACACACACCGGACCAGGGAGCGAGGAACACGCCACCCCAAGGAACATGCAAACACACGGAGAAGATCCCGCAGGCCCAAGGATGCCACAACCCGATGGGCACGGAGGAAGCACGAATATCTAAGAAAAGCCACTGAGAAACACCGAGGCTGCGGCAGGCGCTCCGCACACCCGCGCGAGTGAAGCGCTGCGGAACGGGCCCCGGGACCGTGCAGACACGAGTACGGCGACAGAGACACTGACACGGACACACGGATGCACTAGGTTCCCACAGGACAAGGGCCTGGGTGGAAGGAGACAGGTGCCCCGGGAGCAGCAGCGGGCACCGGACACCTGCCCCCTCCAAGCGCTGCGGCTGCAGACCAGCCGGGCAGCGCCGAGGATTGCCAGAAAGGCTCTGCCAGCCTTTCGCTAGTTCGACTTCTGGAGACAAGAGTCCAGAGTGCTCTCGGGCTTGTGCCCGCCAGGTGGAGGGACAAAGCAGGAGGCTCTCCCTACCCTCGGCACAACCTCTGAGTGTTCTCTCTCACACACACGCTTGCACACGCACGCGCACACACACACACACACACACACCTGCCCTCCAGGCCTGCGTTGGTGGCTGGCTGGGGCTGCGGAAGGCCGGTGTGGAGAGCAGGGTTGCAGGACCTGTCCCAGCCAGGCTGGCCCCACGCGGGAGCTCAGCCTCCCACCCCCTGGGAAGTCCCAAGCCAGCCACGTCTCGGAGGGCTTCGGCCCCCTAGCCTCGGTGCCATGGAGGGGCTCCCCAGGTCCGGCTGTGCCTCTGTCGTCCCAGGCTCCCCACTTAGTCTCCGGTTAGACAAGAGGAAGGGAGGGGGCCAGGGCCGGGCATCCCAGGGCTGTGCTGGAACCCTCCTTGCTCAGAGCCATGGAAGCTGAAGGGGTATAGCTCTGCGACTGGAAAGGAATGCTGCATCCCTGCCTTCCGGGAGGCAGGAAGGCCAGGGGCGAGGCTCTGGGATGGAGCAAATGGGGAGGCATGCGGGGGGAGGGAGCTGTTGCTCCCCAGTCTGTACTGCCCTTCATCAGATACAAACTTCCCATGGACACCTCCTCCCCCTCCCCAGCCTTAAACCACCAAGAGACACTTCTTATGTCAAAGAGAACCATGGTGCTCCAAGAGGCTGGCAAGACGAACAGGTGCGTGGGAGACGCGGCACAGCCCCGGGCAGCCAGCAAAGCTGGCAGACAGAGACTTCCGACCCATAGTGAGGTTTCCCAAGCCCAAAGGAAGGAGGAGACACACAGCTCACTCTAAAGAAAAAGCTGACCCTCCAGTCACAGGCTCGCAGGCAGGCGCGCACACACACGCACACGCGCGCACACACACACACTCTCTCTCTCACCTACTCTGTCTAGTCCAGAGTCCATGCACCTGCTTTCGCGGTGACTACAGCATGCCTGGGAAACAGTCAGGGCCCCCAGGGAGAAGTGGGTGCCCTCAGGGATGGTGCAGAGCCAGGACTGCTTCATGGGCAGGAGGACAAAACCAGGCTGTGTGCAGGTGCAGGGGCCGTGGCCTTGCTTCATTCCTGGGGAAAGGGAGAGAAGAGACGGCGGCGGGTGGTGCTGCTCAGGCGGGGGTGGGCGTGGGGCCGGGCCCTGGCCCTGGGCCCTCAGTTGATCTGGCGACAGGCCTCGAATGTCCACTTGGTGGCTCCACCGTAGATGTCGATCTGGGACTCGGCCCAGGCGATGACGTTGCCGGAGAGCGCCTTGGTGCTGCAGGTGGCCAGGTTGTACACCTCACCGGGGGTCAGCTTGCGGTCCCAGATGTTGAAGTGGGCCAGCTCGCCCACAAATGCTTGGGTGGCATCGAACCCTCCTCCCAGAGCGTCCTTGGGAGAAAAGTAGGGACGGGCATTGGGGGACTGTCCGGGTGAGCTGAGGGCCTCTCCCCAGAGGATGTGGGGGTGTCTGTGCCTCCTGAGCACGCCGTTCTCGCTCCCGTCCCTGGTCTTGGGCCACGCGTCTGTCCCTGCGTGAGCCCAGCCACACAAAGGGCACTGCCCCTCCTCTCCAGAAGCAGATGATGTGCGGGGGCCTGGGCTCTGCCCTCCCCGCAGCCACCCGGCCCCAGCCCGGGCCAGGGCTCAGCAGGGGCCTGGACACCGGCGGCCGCAGGGTCTGGGGGTGGAGTGCCTTCCTCACCCACCCCTCTGCCAGCTACGGCCCACTCTGTCCCCGGAGCAATGGAGCCTGGTTCTCCCACCCTGGGCGCACCTCCCGCAGGCCCAGAGGAAGCGGAAGCACTTCGCTGGAACTAAATTATTCATTGCTAAAAGCCGACAGAGCAGGGCGTTCCCGCTGTTCCCAAGAGCACACACCCCAGCTCGCTGCCCCACGGGGGTTCCTGAGCCCACCCACCCCGTGTGGCTCCCCTCCCCCATTCCCGGGTCACCATGCCCTCCCCCCACCGGCCCCCAAGCCAACAGTACCTGCTCCTGGCCCAGCACCAGCACGCCCTGAGGCTTGATGGGGTGGTAGGGGGCCAGGTTCTCGCCGCTGCCGCCCTGGGTGCCGTCCTGGTAGGCCTCCCACACCCCGTCCCGGGTGGTCCAGGTGATGCAGATGTGGTGCCACTTCCCGTCGTTGATGACAAAGGGCAGCTTGGCCACCTGGGGGGGGCCACCCACCGTGATGTGGCACCAGAGCCTGGCACCACCAACACGCTCGCGTGGGCTCCTCCCTGATCCTCAGCCCGCGGCAGAGAGCCCACAGCACTCTCTGAGACGTGAATACCCGGGGAGGGCCACAGGACACTCGGGAAGCCTGGCGCATCCCCCACGGACCCTGAGAGTCACCCGGACCTCCTGCCTCCCAGCTGGCCCTGGGCCCTCCTGCCTCCCAGCTGGCCCTGGGCCCTCCTGCCTCCCAGCTGGCCCTGGGCCCTCCTGCCTCCCAGCTGGCCCTGGCGGCTGAGGGCGCCACGGCCTCCCTCCCAGACGCCCCGCTGGGCCTCTCCTCCCCTCCAACCGGCCATCCTCAGCCACCAGGTGCTCTGGTTATAATGCCCGGCCAGCTCTGCAGAATCTGAGAGGCTGGGGAGGGGGAGGGGGGAGGGCCTTGGGAAGCCCCAGCCAACCCCGGACTCTGGTGTTCTTGCCCTCTCCCCCACACAGGGGCAGTGTGGCAGAGGATGGGCCTCAGGCATTTTCCACTTGGGGAAACAGGGCCCAGAAAAGCCTAACCCTTCCCAGGACACGATGTCACAAGTGAGGGCTGGGAATCCAGTTCCCAGTTGGGATTTGGCCATTGATGACCAGAGGTGACAGAGGGGTGTCCTGCGGTGGGGGATGGGGGCTTGAAGCAGCGGGGCAGGGGCAGGAAGGAGAAGAGCTCTCTGGAGGTGACGGCTGCTCTCTCCTAAGGGGTCGATACGTGGGCCCCCGCAAGTGGGGGCTGAGTGAGAAACATCTAACATCTAAAAGAGAGGCAAGCGGAGCATCTGCGGTCCCCAGGCGGGGGGAGGGGGAGCCAATCAGAGCCATTCAGAGCAGCAGCCAGAATCCTATCTGCAGGATGACCGTCCTCAGACATTCCACCCCCACCTCCAAAGGCTTCTGGAAGTTTCCAGCTCTCCCTATTATTGACAGACAGTGATGGTGTCCCTCCCCCTCTGGGCTCCACTCCCACCTCCTTCAAGTCCTGTAAGGGGGGAGTGGCTCTGCAGCAGGAGGCCACCTCAGTCTTCCTCCCGGTCCTCCCTCCCCGGTCCTCCCAGCCAGGACCCCTACCTTGTCATTGATGAGGATCTCCATGGGGTTGTTGCCCCACTCGATGAGGACCAGCTCGTTGGCCTGGCCGGGCACGGCGTAGGAGAAGGGGGTACCCACGCCAGGCGCCGCGCTGGACTTGAGCCACATGCACACGGTGAAGGCGTACATCTCGGGCAGGCTCTTCCGCACCTTGGCGTACATGTAGTTGGTGCGCAGCGGGAAGGTGAGCTGGAACTTGTCACCAGGACGGTTGTCCTTCTGACCTGGGGAGGACAGACCGGTCCCGACACCTGCCCCTCGCTGACCCCAGGGCTTGTGGGCAGAGTGGTGTCTGGTCCCCACCCAGCTCCGAGCCGCCAGCAGGGCGCAGAGGCAGCTGAAGAAGCTGACCCCAGGTCTCTGCACCCTGGGGCCACCCCTGGGGCGGTGAGGTGGGGTACAGCACACACAGCAGCCTGGGCACCCTCCCCGGTGGGCAGGGGAGGGAATGAGACTGGCCCCGCGCACCCCCATGAACAAACGGAGAAGGTGCGGCCACGGGGGAGGAGGGAAGTGGGCCAGCTCCCCTCAGAGCAGCCCCTGTGGGGACTGACCTGATTCCAGATGGTGACAGTGCTCCGAACCCCTCGCCACTCCTCACCTCTCCTTCAGCACTCCCTTTCTGGGCCCGGCCCAAGACAACCAGAGGCTGCCGGTGCCTCCCCAGCCCCCTGCGGCCCTGGAGACAGGACCCTGTGCAGGCCTGAGCCTGCTGCTGCCACAGCCCGCCCCTTCCTCTGAACCACCTGGAGGGTCCCCAAAGTGTCTGCTCTGAGGATGCCACTGTGTGTCGGATAAGCTTCCCGGAAACTCGGGCTCCAGGGCTAGGGGCTCCCCCTTTCACACGGCCCCCAGTCACCATCCGGGGACCCTCTGACCCTCAACCCGCCCTCACTGGCTATGATCCTGACCCCGGTGACTGCTTGGGGGAAAGTGCTCCCATCCAGCATCGATGCCCACAAAGAGCGCAGGGACGCAAGCACCCAGCCAGCTCCTGCTGCGCCCGAGCCCACGGGGAAGGGAGTCCCGCAGGCCAGGAGGGATTTCTAGAAGGCGTCCTGGCAGGCCAGCAATGGCCTCCTCCTCCTCCTCTTGTAAGCGAGGCAGGTGTTTTAGACAGGGCATGGCTGGCTCTCTCAATGAAGCACCCCCCACCCCAACTTAGCCCCACAGAGAAGGGAGAGGGTCCGTGGGGCCTCTCAGGAGTGTTTTCCAATCCCTGTCTTCCCTCCCCCCTCCCTCCGGAGGTCCCTCTCTCCCCAGATCTGTTTTTCAGTTACATAACGGGCCTTAAGATGGCACTGTTTAAATCCATCCGGCACATTTTGCGGTCTGAGCGGGGTCACGTGTCCCTGCTCTGAGCACAGCTCCCCCCCCCTTTACAACCTTGTTTGATTTCTGCCACTTCAAGACAGAACTGGCCCGTGGGCACAGAAAGTGGGGCCGGCCTCAGCCAGTGGCTGACAGGGCTGCGGGGACACCCGGGCTGTGGGGACACCAGGGCTGCAGGGACTTGGGTCACTCAGAAGAGAAGATGGGGAGGCAGTGTTGGAGGGGGGTCAGGACCGATAGATGGGTGAGGATCCCAGGAATGGGGGGGGGGGGACGGGGACGGGAAGGAAAGTGGCTCAGCAGCCCAAGGCAGAGGCGGCTCAGCTCCTGGCTGGAGAGGCCGGAGGAGCCTTCCTTCAGGGAGAGCTGGAGCCTGCCACCGCTGCAAGCACAAAGTTGCTGAAGATTAAACAAATGAGACTTGAACATCCCAGGTGTGTGAGTGTGAGTGTGTCTCCGTGAGGGGGTGCAGCATGCCGTCCTTCACACACACACGGAGGGATCTCCAGGAACACGGGCTGCAAGCCCAGAACCTCGGGAACCCCGAAGCGGGAGCGGGGCTCAGCCCTGCAGGGAGCGGGCAGGCCGGGCCGGGGGGTGGCGATGCCGGAGGGGCCCCGAGGGGCCCGGAGGGGGCGGGAGGCGCCCGCCGCGCCGTCCAGCCTCGCTTACCCTTCTCCAGCTCGCTGATGCGCTGGTGCAGGGAGGTCAGGGCGCTCTCGATCTTGGCCCGCTCCTCCGTGTCGTTCCTGGGGCCCCCCTTGCCCTCCTCCAGCGTGTTCACCCGCGACAGCACCTGCCGCTCCAGGTCGTCGATCTTGCTCTGCAGCAGATCCTTGAGGCTGTTGGTCTGGCTGGAGGAGTTGAGGCGACTGTACTGCTGCGGGGCACAGGGTTGGGGGGGGGGGCTCAGCGCGGGGGTCGGCGCGGGGGGGGGGGGGCGGCGGGGCGTCCGCGCGCGGCCGGGGCCCGGGGCGCCCACGGGCCGGGGCCGGGGCGCGCGAGGGCGGGGCGGGGCGGGGAGGGGAGCGGAGGGGGCGCGCGAGCCACCCGGCCCGGGGACCGCGGCTCCCGCGCACCTCGAGGTTCTCCAGCCGGGTTTTGAGCGACTGCAAAGTTTGGCCGAGTTGGCTGAGCGTCTCGGCGGCCGGCGTCCGGGACAGGTCGCCCATGGTGTTCTTGCCGGGGCCGGGCTGCTTGCGGCCGCCGCCGGCGCCGGCGCGGGGCTCGCCGGGCGCCGCGTCCAGCGTGCTCTGGCTCTCGCAGCGGCCCAGCTTGGTGGTCAGCTCGCGGATGGTCTCCTTCTGGCTGAGGATCGTCTCCTTCTGCTGCAGCACGGTCTCGCGGAGCTGCAGCACGCTGGTGCGGAGCTCCTCCGCCCCGCCGCCGCCGCCGCCGGCCCCGGACGCGGCGCACATGTCGGCGTCCACGGGCACCGAGGTGCAGATGAAGCGCGTGGGCCCGAAATCCTGGGCCCGGCCGCCCAGGAGGCACAGGGCGAGCAGCGCACAGGTGCGCGCGGCGCGGCCGGCCGGCATGGCTGCGGGGCCCGGCTCGGCTGGGCTGCGGCTCGGCCCGCGCTCCGGGGCCGCGCTGCGCTCCGCGCCGTGCTCTCCGCCGCGCTGTCCGGCCCCCACTGTCGCCGGCGCTGCGGAGCCCGCGCCTTTTATGCCGCCGCGGGAGGGGCCGCGGCGCCGCCGACGTCAGCGGGGGAGGAATCCCGCTTTCGCCGCGCGCGGCGGGGGTCGCCCGGGGGCGCGGCCTGGGCCCGCCCCGCCCCCCGCGGCCAGCGCCCCCCCCCCACCGAGCGCGACCGAGCGCGGACTCGGGGGTCGGGCCCGGACTCCACCCGCGTGATCCCCCATCTCCGACGGGGCTCGGGACCGGGTGGGGGGCCCTCGGGGTCCGCACCCCCCAATCTCCGCGTGCTGGAGGGGCCCCGCGTGCCCACCAGGCCAGAAAGGGGAGGTGTCCGCGCGGGGCCGGGAAGACCCCCCCAGGGGTTCCCCACGGAGGCTCGGCTCCCGCTAGCGCGGGCCCGGGACTTCCCGGAGCCGCCCTTCCTGACCCCCGCGCACCCGCCCCATTCCGGACAGACGGCGCCTGGGGACCCGCGGAGAAGCCTTCCGCGCTCCGGAAGCGCCCTCCCCGGGGCGAGGCGCGGGCGGCCGGGCGGTGCGTGCCCGTGTGTGTGTGTGTGTGTGCGCCCCCCGTGTGTGTGTGTGCGCCCCCCGTGTGTGTGCGCGCCCCCTGTGTGTGTGTGTGCGCGCCCCCTGTGTGTGTGTGTGCGCCCCCTGTGTGTGTGTGTGCGCCCCCTGTGTGTGTGTGTGCGCCCCCTGTGTGTGTGTGCGCCCCCCGTGTGTGTGTGTGCGCCCCCCGTGTGTGTGCGCGCCCCCTGTGTGTGTGTGTGCGCGCCCCCTGTGTGTGTGTGTGCGCCCCCTGTGTGTGTGTGTGTGCCCCCTGTGTGTGTGTGCGCCCCCTGTGTGTGTGTGTGCGCCCCCTGTGTGTGTGTGCGCCCCCTGTGTGTGTGTGTGTGTGCGCCCCCTGTGTGTGTGCGCGCCCCCTGTGTGTGTGTGTGCGCCCCCTGTGTGTGTGTGTGTGCGCCCCCTGTGTGTGTGTGTGCGCCCCCTGTGTGTGTGTGTGCCCCCTGTGTGTGTGCGCCCCCCGTGTGTGTGTGTGTGTGCGCCCCCTGTGTGTGTGTGTGTGCGCCCCCTGTGTGTGTGTGCGCCCCCCGTGTGTGTGTGTGCGCCCCCGTGTGTGTGCGCGCCCCCTGTGTGTGTGTGTGTGCGCCCCCTGTGTGTGTGCGCGCCCCCTGTGTGTGTGTGTGTGCGCCCCCTGTGTGTGTGTGCGCCCCCTGTGTGTGTGTGCGCCCCCTGTGTGTGTGTGTGCGCCCCCTGTGTGTGTGTGTGCCCCCTGTGTGTGTGTGCGCCCCCTGTGTGTGTGTGTGTGCGCCCCCTGTGTGTGTGTGTGTGCGCCCCCTGTGTGTGTGTGTGTGCGCCCCCTGTGTGTGTGTGCGCCCCCTGTGTGTGTGTGCGCCCCCTGTGTGTGTGTGTGCGCCCCCTGTGTGTGTGTGTGCCCCCTGTGTGTGTGCGCCCCCTGTGTGTGTGTGTGTGCGCCCCCTGTGTGTGTGTGTGTGCGCCCCCTGTGTGTGTGTGTGTGCGCCCCCTGTGTGTGTGTGCGCCCCCTGTGTGTGTGTGTGCGCCCCCTGTGTGTGTGTGCGCCCCCCGTGTGTGTGTGTGTGCGCCCCCTGTGTGTGTGTGCGCCCCCTGTGTGTGTGTGTGCCCCCTGTGTGTGTGCGCCCCCCGTGTGTGTGTGTGTGCGCCCCCTGTGTGTGTGTGCGCCCCCTGTGTGTGTGTGCGCCCCCTGTGTGTGTGTGCGCCCCCTGTGTGTGTGTGTGCGCCCCCTGTGTGTGCGCGCGCGTGCACGCGCTGGGTTTTCGGCTCCCCGCGCGCCCCCCGCTGGTCCCACACCTCGGGGCTCGGGGGCGTCCACCTGCAGAGCCCACAACCCCAGTGCTTCACGCACACACACCCGGCGTCCTCGCGCCTCCTCCGGACGGTAGAACTGTCCAGAAGGCTCACCCGATTCCAACCCCGGTTCGACGCCCGCCTGGGGGCCGGAGGTTAGGGATGAAGCCGCCGCCCCGCCCCGCCCCGGCCAACAGCGCTGGTTATCGTCCAAGCTCCATTGTACCGAAAGGGAAACTGAGGCAGGGAGAGTCCAAGTGGGGCGAGGTGACCCCGGCTCCTCCCCCTCCTCCCCGCCATCCCTCGTTCCTTCCTTGATTCCGCGACCTTTTACTGGAAGGGTTGGGGTGGCCGGAGGACGAACGCCCACCCCCCCTCCCCCGCGCCCCGCGCCCTCCCGGCCCGCGGCTGCGAGCCGGAGCCGCCAGGCCTCCGCACAGCCCGCGCCTCGGTCGACCGCCGCTTCCCGGCGCCAGGGGGACCCCGCGGCCCGCACGCAGCTGTCCTGGGCTCCGCACGGGGAGACGGTGCGGGGTTCCCGCCACCGCCGGCCTCCAGGCCGGCACGGAGCGCGGCCGGACGCCCCCTCGGGTCCCCTCCGCGCTCCGGGCCGCGGGAGGGCAGCGTGCGCGCGCAGCCGGGCTGGCGGGGGCCGGGCCGGGGAGGGAGGGCCGGCGCCAGGGCCGCGCGCCGCGTAGGCAGCGTCTGCCCCCGTCCCGGCTCGGGTGCGGGGACCCCGCCTGCACCTGCGGTGCCCCCCGCGCGTCTAACCCTAGGCCGTCCCCCGAGTGCGGGGCGCCGGGGAGGCGGTGCGGATGCCGTACCTCGGCACTTGGGCACTGAGGGGCCGATCACCCCGCTGCAAAGGACAGGGGTGGGCAGCCCAGAGGGGAAGGGGACGGGGGAGGAGGGCCCTGGGGCAGGGTCCAAGGACCGTGGGCCACTGGGGCTCTCCAGACCCAGCGTCTGTCCGTCCGTCCACCCGCCTTGGTTAATCGGCCTGCAGGGCGGCGCACGCGCAGGCCCTGTCCAGGAGCAGGCCCCGCCCGCCGGAGCCCCGCCCCACCCCACCCCACCCCACCCCACACCTCTGCCTTAAATCCTTTTGGGGAGCGCTGTGGAGGTTCCCTCCCGGTGTCACCTCTGCCTCACAGCGCTGGAGGAAGCCAGGGGTGGGGGGGAAGGGAGCGCCGGGAAGGTGGGTTCTTCCAAAACCCACGAGGCCGAGGCCTAGGCCGGGCTGCTGGCTCCAGAGGGAGGGAGCTGGGCAGGCGCTCAGGGGTCAGGGGCAGGGCGGGGCCTGGCGGGAGCCCAGGGGGAGGGAGGGCTACAGGCGGTCCCACCTGGTTACCTGTGGCTTCAACCTCTGGGCGGCCTGGCACACCAATCAGAGCCCTCTGCCAGGCCAGCCCCAGGGAATGCCTGGCCCTGTCATCCTAGCTACCTGAGACTGCCATGGAATCTGGACAGACTCAAGAGATTCCGATGTCCGGGGCTGGGAAGGTGGCTCAGTGGTAGAGCGCTTGCCTTGCACGCATGAGGCCCTGGGTTCGATTCCTCAGCACCACATAAGCAAAAAGAAAAAACCCGGAAGTGGAGCTGAAGAGCTGAGGGACAGTGTCCAGGCCTCATGACCGGACCCCCCCCCCCCCAAAAAAAAGAGTTTCTGGTCTCCAATGGACCAGCAAAAAGCAGAAACTGGAGGTGTGACTCACGTGGTAGAGCACTAGCTTTGAGCAACAAAACTGAGGGAGAGCCTGAGTTCCTGAATTCAAGCCCCAGTATAGCACCAAAAAAAAAAATAAACGTAGAACACGATGCCTTTTGAGTATTTGTTAGCTTCCAATTTACTGGACAGTAAGTGTACATATTTAAACATCAATGATCAATCAACTTTTTGTTCATCCATCAGTTGTAAACTTGCTGAAAATGGACCAATCATTTGGTTCCCTGGGCTCCGTGGTCACTGGTTAAAAGTAGTGTGGGGCCGGGCGCTGGTGGCTCACGCCTGTCAACCTAGCTACTCAGGAGGCTGAGATCTGAGGATCACAGTTCAAAGCTAGCCTGGGCAGGAAAGTCCACGTGAGACTCTTATCTCCAATAAACCACTAGAAAACCAGAAGTGCCACTGTGGGCTCAAGTGGTAGAGCGCTAGCCTTGAGCTAAAGAGCTGAGGGGCAGCGCCCAGGCCTAGTTCAGGCCTCACAACCAACAAAAAAAGAAAAAGAAAGTAGTGTGGGGAAGAAGGCTGTGCTCATGCTGAGCCCAGAAGCGAGGGGGCTGATGGGAATGCGTAGCCTGAGGGGTGGCCTGGGTGCAAAGGCAGGCGTGCGCGTGCGCAGACCTGACCGTGAAGTTCAGCGGCATCAGGCTCCTCACTGCAGGAGCAACGGGAGCCCGGGCCGGGCTGGGCCCAGGCTGGGGTGCAGAACCTCGCTGTGGCCAGCACCTTGTGGCAGCCTGTCCTCCAAGGCCACGGCCACGAGCCGGTCCAGAGCCACCACCCTGACCAGGACCCAGCTTCCTACAAGTTGGGCAATGTGTGGGTGCCGGACAGGGGCACCCCCGGTCTGAGCCCTCCCTGCCTGAGAGTCCACCAGGCCTTTGCAGAGGTGAGCGTGGGAGAGGCCCAGAGCCCGCAGGAGGAGATGCGGGAGGGAGTCCTCGCCCGCCACAGCCGGAGGAGGCGTGAGGACGCGGGGTGTGTGTGCGTGAAGCGCCGGGGTTGTGGGCTCCGCAGGTGGACGCCCTGGGCCTGAGTGTGGGCAGAGCCAGCTGCCAGCCCCCTGGAGACTCGCCTCCGCTGCCATCTCATGCAGCATGGGGGCAGGTGGCTGGTGCTCTTGTGTTTCTCTTTGGGGCTGCTTTTGTTGTCAGCAGTCTGGGCAGTGACGCCATGTTGTTTCTTGGTGTTGACACGCTGGGCTGTCGGGGCACCCCAGGATCTTTGCACTGGGGTTTTATTCCTCACACGTGGCAGGGAGACACCTCACCACCACCACAGAAGCCTGTGGCCACCGAGCCTTCGGGACACAGCCAGGCCACACAGCCAGGCCGTGTGAAACCTGGAACC